TCCTTATCAGGTTAGTTAAATGTTTTCATTTCCAGGTTTTTGGATTGCAGCTGTGAAGGTAGTAGGAAAAAACATTTAGTGATCTTTACAATGAGGGTCATAGAACTACAATGACCAAATACTAACAAATTAGGAATGATCTTATCACAAACTAAGTTGCCAGCATTACAAAATTGTGGAAGAGAACGTATGTATGGTTTCAAATTATACTTGTCTTTACTGAGATTTTTTTTTTTATCGGATAATGAGGTTGTCGTTGGTCATAGAGTAAATATCAGGACCAGGGAATTGGCCGTTGATCAGAATTCCCTACAATTGCAAAATAAAATAAAAAATCGATCAATCCTGGTGTTTGGAAGAAAAGAAAAGAAAATAAATAAATTGAAAATTGAGGATTGCTAAACCTGCTGACGAACTCCGAGTGGATAAATGTCACCGTAAGTGATGTTCCAGTCGAAGAACCTGTAAGGGTCTTCGGCGATAGCAACGGAGAAAAGGAAGAGAGAGGCGCAGAGACACCGGAGGAGAGAAACTCCGGTGAGATTTGGCAGCATTTTGAAGGAAAAGAATGGATGAAGATGAAAAGAGATGAGGAGAAGGGTTTGAGAGAGAAGAGGTCTCTCTTATTTGTGTAATGAATGAATGAGAGCAGAGAGAGTGAGAGAGGAGGTTACTTATACGATACGTATTGCTACGTGAACTGGTAACAGTTGGTAACTCGTTTTTGTATTTAAGCCGCGTGTGTAAAGGAACTATGCCAGAAGAAGAAGATATTGATATATTATACACAAATGCATATCTATTTGGAATGTGGGCAGTTTTTTTGCATCTCAGTTTCTGTCTAAGCATGAAGTAAAGCAGCTCGTATGCACTTAAACAAACTAAAGTCGCTCATAATCTCAGTAAAGACAAGAAAACAAAGAAATGGTATCAAAAGAAACTTCTTACATTTGGAAAGAACAGAAAAACAAGTGAGAAAAAAAACACACAGCTCTCACAACTGTAATAAGTAGAATGCATTACAAACTCTTAATATAAACCACTCTATCAAGCTTCCTCTTCCTGTGCACGGCACCGTGCTGCGCACAGGAGAGGATTCTGGTTCATCTCCAAACAAGGACAATGTAGACTGCGGTTGTCTTACGAACTTAGCATAAGAAAACCATACTGTATTAGTACTCTAAGAATTAAGTATAGTCCAAACTTTTAACGTTGTAATTAACCTAACCAGATTATTTACGTGACTAATAACTACGTTTATATTACCAAACAGTGCAAAACAAAAAAAAAAAAAAAACTGTAATCCAGGCGATATTAAAGTGATAGCTTAATAGAAAGTAATACTTTCTACTTCCCATTACAAAAATGATGTCAAATGAACTAAAAATCAAACATGTAGAATTACGCCCACTATTTATCTTTTAGAATCTCACACTCACTATAAGAGCACTTGTTTTCTCATTTACTAAAATTAAATAGCAGGTTATAATTCATAATATATATAAATTAAATCATCTTCGATAATATTGTCTACGAATGAAAATAAAGGATCTCACTGTACATCTTTTTACATTTTTATCTTTTAGTTCAATTAAGTCATTTCTGTGTCATTTTTTTTTTTTTTTTTTTCAATCAAGAACAAGATTAGACTCTATTGAGTTCTAAAGAATCTGTAAAGAAACATGTCCAATTAAACATTAATGTGAGTGATATTTTCTCACATTTCAAAATAAAAAATGTGAAGCGATTCAAGCCCCCACGAGAAGAAAGTGAGTACATAAGTTTTTTTCCCAAGATAATAATAATAATAATAAATAAATAAATTAGATGCGCTCAACCGTTGTGAAAGAAGCTAACATTGTTTCATTTCTAATCTCTTGGAATTGCTTCGTTCTTCACAAGATGAATTATAATCCTCCACTCAATACTAAAAAGCCTTCTGAAATTTTCTTAAAAACACAAATCAGAAAGAACACAAGAAATATTAGTGTCACCTAACCAGATTATTGAAGCAGACAAACACAAAATTAACAAGCTAGAATAAACTACACACTATCTTGGAATAGAATCCAATATACCAAGCTGCTCAGCTAAAATATCAACATCTTCTTCTTCTTCTACTTCACCATCCAGTAAACCAATTTCTTCTTCAATCTCCTCATTCATTAAATTTTCCCAAAATCCCTCATCAAGCACTTTATCACTACCAATTTTCTCCAGCCCAAAATCATGGAATCCGGAAAGGTCACCATAATCTTGAGGTTCTACTTTAATCCGAGTTCTTTCCATCCCAACTTGGCCTAATTCGTTGCCTCTTTCATTGCTTGGAACAGTGAAAAATGTACAATCAAACTTCAAACACAAATAAACAACAAACAATCCCTCAGACAAAAAAATTCAAGCCCAAAAAAAATATAGTTGAGGCCAAAATTATTCGAAAATCAACCAAAAACAGAGAAAAAAACAGGACAAAGTCTTTGAAACGCTGTTTAATCACCGGCATTTTGTAAAATCTAAATAAAAAATAAAAAACAAGTTCAGGAAAAAAAAAATAATAATCAACCTCTAAGACTATAAACCATTAACTAAAGCCAAAAACAATCACAAACCGAAAATAAACACACAAATAATTTTCCAAACCCTAAAATAAACACAAATTGCAAATAGCATATATATGTGTCCAGATCTGAAACAATCAAAATAAAAATGGACCAAAACTAGGGCGAGGATCATTAAACCGAAGTTGGTTATATGAATGTCAAATCTAAGATGGGGGTTCTCTGAAAATCGAAGAAAGAGGCATAATCCCTAAAATGTTGAAAAAATAAAAACATTGTTGTACCTGAAGAGTAAGAGTTGATGTTGGAACGATTGGGTCATTCAGAGGGTGGAAGAGCCTCAATATTCTGCAATGGTGGAAGAGGGTGGAAAAGCTTCAGTCTTCTGTGAAGGTGGAAAAGCTTCAGTCTTCTGTGAGGGTAGAAGAGCTTCAGTGTTCTGCGAGGGTGGAAGAGGTGAAAGAGAGGGAGTAAGGGCTTGAGGCGGGTCGTGGAACTGATGATAGCTAGGATATGATGTAACGAAATTAACGACGTAGCTTTCATTTTTTGTATTAAATAAAATAATTTTAGGGAATTAAGCGGCAAAACAAAGCTAGCGGCAAACAGGGAATTAAGCGCCAAGGCTTCCCGCACAATTTATTTGTGGAATTGGGGACGGGCCATTCGTGTTTTTAGGGACAGTCAAAATAACTGTGCCAAAAAAGTAATTTTTAGGGACGGTCTAAATGACTGTGCCTAAAAAAGAAAGTTTTAGGGACAGTTTTTAAAACTGTCCCTAAAGGACTGTCCCTAAAACCCGAATTTCTTGTAGTGGCGGTGAACGTATCAGCAACAAGATCGACGGCGAAACATACCGGTCATCTCTAAAACCTCTACATGCCCATGCAAGAATGAAATCGTGGCCAAGCTTGATACAGACCACCGTTGCCATCATTTAGATGCTCCATCGACGGTGAAACCACCATTAAAGCCGGCGAAAACAAACAGAAAGCTCTAAACTACAACAAACAGTTCAAGCAAATGAGACCCACTTCGGTGATCATCCAACGAGCTATACTTCCATGCATGTGTATTTAGTGAGCTTCAAAGCAACAACTGAACGCCGATGAACTCCATAACCAACGACGAGCTCCACGACTCACATGCTCTGATGAAGATGACAAATCACTGAGCTTCGGTGTACTTCTGGTCCCATGACCTGCATGCAAAAAGCCAATGACACACGGCGTGTTTCAGTCACTGCTCCTGTGAGCTGTACACCGGTATGCTTCATGTCCCTAGACGGCAATAAGGAACAAGCTCACGAGACCCACTTGGATGACAAACCGCAAAGCTCAAAACTGATTCTGACGAGTGAGCCATGACGTTGGCGACGACTGAATTAAGAGCAACCCAATTTCAGTTCGGCAACGTCCCAAAAGAACTCAACCCACTTCGGCAACATAGCTGAACCAACGGGAAAACACACATACTCCGACAAGCTTTCAAGCAACTGTGTTGGTTACGGTGACTGTGCTTAAGTCGCAAGCATCGGCAGTGATGGTGACTGTGCTACAATCAGAGACTTCAATGGAAACAAGTTGCAATTCAAATTCATCATTAGTTCGAGCTTATAGATTTTGATTTGTACTGAATTTAAAGAAATGTTAGCTTGGGTTGAAAATTTCGTGTGGAGACATTTTGTCAGTTTTCAGATCGACGATGTGCAGCTATGGATGACACGGGTTCTTATCATAGCCGCCGTCCACCGTTGCGAGCTTCGCTTGACTGAACTGAACTTCACCGGACTTGGAATTGCCATCCGACTTGGGTGAAACAAGCTTTAACAAGTTACATAATGTGTCTGTGTTTAGAGAGAGAGATAGAGGGTCTTTTATGCACAAATGCTGAGGGACTTTTATGCACAAATGGTGAGGGGCAAAATGGAAAACAAAAGGGTAAAATGGGGTTTTAAGTTTTACTTTTTGTAAAAAGTTGTCAGAGGGACCGGTTATGCACCTTTTTTGAATTTTGTGGACTTGCATACACTTTTTCAAAAAGTAAGGACTTGTTCTGCACAAAGTCTATATATCAGGGGGAGTTTTTTGCACTTAACCCAATTTTAAATCACAAAATTAGAGAGTGCACTAAAAATCAAAACAAATTTAATTCTACTCGACTCTAAACGAAAATCATATGAAATTAGAAAAATGATAAAAATTACTAGATTTAAATGTAACGTTGTTGAAATAGCCTTATGTCCGGTTTGAAAATGGCTCCAATCTTGTGAACAAATTAGGTTGCGCTATGCCGCTATATAGTACGTCTCAAGCTTTCGTGCCTATATATTTTAACTCCTTTCAATTTGAAAGTTTAGAATAATTTCTTTTGACAGTCACCGTATATTTCAACACCACCTATTCTTCATCAGTGTCTCCCCAAAGGCTTATTAGTGAGAACAACCAAACACCACCTAAGTTGCATGGCTCGGTCCAACTAAGGTTACAAGACTTCATAATCTTACCTCATCTTAGGTCGAAATAGTTAGTTACTAGACTAAAAAAAAAATAATAATAAAGGAGAAATAGTGCAATAATCAAGGTTCAAATACTAGCATGTACAATATTCATAGATAATTGCAAAAACAAAAATAAAATATGGACATTGAGTTCTGAAAATTGCAGCAACAAATTTGGAAAAAAAAAAAAAAGAAAAAGAAAAGGGATCCTGAAGAGAGGAAGAAAATTGCAGTTCAATGGAGGATATTGCTTTAACCAATACATCTGATTCGCCTTGATGTCGCCAGTTGCCAGTTGATGGGTTTATCCAACCCGTCTGACACCAAACCCACGCATAACTCGCTTAATGCGGGTTAATATGGGTTTATGACCTGTTTTTGAACCTTCCATTTCTGACCCGCCCAAGTCCACTCGTACCTGTCCATTTGCTACTCTCTCAAGCTCCATTGCAACTTCCATCATCGTAGGCCGTTCGTCCCCCTTCAATCTTAGGCAACTCAGTGCAAGGCTAGCAACTTCGCATAATTGATTTGCGTTATCCTCAGTCACCATTCGATCATCTAGAACAAGGAACAACTGATTTTCTTTCATTGAATAGATAAAATATGTGGCTAAGTTTCTCTCTTTCTCTGGTCTTTCTGAAGAAAATGCCTTTTTGCTCGTAAGTAACTCCACAAGCACCACTCCAAAGCTATATACATCACTTTTTTCTGACAAATGACTTGTATGGAAATATTCAGGATCTAAGTATCCAAGTGTTCCCTGAACCAATGTTGTCAACTGTGTTTTATCCAATGGAAATAATTTTGAAACTCCAAAGTCCGAGACTTTTGCACAAAAGTCGGTGTCTAAGAGTATGTTAGTAGACTTAACATCTCTGTGAATAATCGGTATGGAAGCTGCAGAGTGCAAGTAAGAAAGTGCTCGTGCAACATCTTTGGCTATCCTTAGACGAATTTCCCATGGAATCAAGGATGCATTGCCTACTTCATGCAGATGCTGATACAGAGTTCCGTTGGTAATAAATTCATAAACGAGCAAGGGGAATTCATTCTCTAAACAACAACCCAATAATCTTACTACGTTTCGGTGATGGATTTGGGAGAGCACAATTACTTCGTTAACAAATTGGTCAACTCGGCTTTGATCAACTCCGGAGGACTTTTTGATAGCAAGAACTCTGTTATCTGGTAAAATTCCTTTGTAAACTATACCAAATCCTCCTCGACCTATGATCCTACTTTCATCGAAGTTATTGGTTGCCTTCTTCAGCTCTGTTTGTGTAAATATTTTGACTGTACTTGGAAGCTGTTGTTGTAATATCAAACCACCATTTTGTTGAAAAAAAAATTCTTTAGATCGGACCAAATTTTTTTTCTTGATTCTCCAATACAACCAACAACATGCCACAGCTAACACCAAAATTGCTATGACAATACCTACAATTAAATTAAATATGTTACCAAAACCAAAGTATCGAAACAAAATGTAACTCGAAAGAAAGTTCATCAAGGAAAAACATGCCCCAAGTTTCAGTTATTGCAGCGACATTAATTAACACACACACTGCAGAAATTAGCTTAGTCACGTAAAGTAATCCGCAATTGCATTAAGACAAGGTAATCAAATGAAGGCTAAATTTGAATAGGAACTTTTTGTGAAACAGAGAAAAAATAAAATATTAACGAATTGTAAAAAGGGGTTTCTGAATTTTGAACTTTTATATTCAAGAAAGTTTACTAATTAATAGCGCGTATATATGCTCAAATCATGTACAATTTTCGAAATAAATAAATGATGGTCAACTTTAGTTATAAACTTTGCGGTTCTTTTCTAAAAAGTAAATAAGAACGTCAAAGAACTCACACCCATTTTGATCTCAAAAATACTTAAACTTTTGACCTATTTTAAAAAGTGAGAGAATTAATAAAAACTCGTGATAATAGATTTTATTATTATTATTATTATTATTATTATTATTATTATTTTTGAGAAATAGTGTCAACCAGTCCAAACATCAATATCCAATGGAGACTAATTTCTAATTTCTGACCATTTACAATGTATAAACATTCAATAAAAGACATTATTGAAGTTGGATTAGACTTGATTTGATACGAATTTGATAAGGCATTTTATGAATTGGTTTGATTCGATAATTCCATAAATTATTTGTGAATAAATCCATATGAAATGTGTAACTAATTAGATATCTGTTTGAATAACCCGATTCATTAACGGTATAATATATATATATATTTTTTTGTTAAAAAAAGAGTTTTCAAACAATAATTGGAAAGAAAGATTCAACTGAATCAACTAGAAATGTTCCCCAAGCACTCCAAAACAGCATAAAAAAACATTTCCTACGATTATTAGAGAATTTATTGAAGCTTCCAAGTTTGGTCTCTACTTACCAACAGTGGGCCATATTTTATTTGCAACGCATCCCTCGCCATTTCTGTTGCCATCCCCGTGATATCCCCTGGGACAAGAACAAGTAAAACCCCCATCCGTGTTTTGACATGCATTTATGCACGGATTGAGTTCTGGACTCGAGCACTCGTCGATATCTGCCAACAATTGGAACAAAATATATAAAAATCTTCTTAATTTCTTCAGCAAAGAGAAATAGAAAAGATAAAATCAAAATCAAAAATTAATTACATGTACCTTGGCAACCATTTGGAAGGTATGGATTGCCCTGATAACCATTAGAGCAATTGCAGCGATACCCTGAAATATTATCGGACTCATAACATTTGCTATTGTTTCCACATGCCTCCTCTTCACAAGTCCTGTCCCTAATTGCCCAATCAAGGACTAGAGGCAACTCCTCAATGTTGCTTAAATTGTAAAGATCGAATTTGGAGAAGTGATACATGCCTTCTTCAACAACAAAGGCAAAGCTGCAAGGATTGGAGCAAGGATTGGACAAGTTATTACTGCTCATATTGGGGTCTAAATTGTGCATGTTCCTCACACTCAAATGAAAATCTCCTACTTCTTGTGGAATGGGTGTTTGGCAACAACCGATACCAGAGCACGAACCATTGACCGCATCATCAATGGTGTCACACATAGACATGCACCCGGTGGAATACTTAGCTCCCAGAGAACCTCTCACGTATGCGTAAAAGTCACAGCCAACGGCCATGAACTTGTTTCTAGTATATGAGATGGAGTAATTGGACAGCCTCGTCCAAGCGTCTCTATTTCTGCGGCGGCCTGGTGTGTTGTCACAATCATATGCTACGGGGCTCGAGACCTGCAGCTCACCGTGGAGTGATATGCTAAGCACGGGAACGTTGCTTGTTCCCAAGAATGGTTTGTTGTAGTAGTCACATATTATGAGGAAAGACTCGTCTAGGTAACAGCCCTCGCTTGTGCCGAAAGGGTATGGAATGGTAAGGTTGCCACAGATGTGTGGGCAAACCGACCTATTGGTATAGAAGGTTGCCGCCATAGTTGAGGGCGGCAAGGTTGCCACAGCTGTGGCTGTTGCTGCAATTGCTGCTAATATTGCAGTTAACAGCAGAAAAAGTGGTAGCATTTTGTGAAAACTCATTGCTTTTCTCTCAGTCGAAGTTATTCTTTGTAGCATAATTTATGTAGTGTTATATCTATATATATATTGATATATTAAACCTTTAATATATTCAAAATTGAAGTACACCAAAGACGACTACAGAGGCAATCGTAGTTACTGGGAAAGCTTCACGAACCTTCCGAATTGGAAAAATGAAAGAATTGATGCCGATTGATGTGAGAGAGAGATAATTGTGATAAATACTTAGAGCAAGATTCAATTCTGTTTTAAATATTCACTTTGTCTATTGGAGTCGCAATTAACCATACTCCAAAGTCCAAACCTAAATATATATTGACAATTTCTAATATTTGTCTAATTAAGCAATACTTAAGTTTAATCATATAAGAATTACGAACCCATATTGCAATCTTGTAAAAGCCTCTTGGAAAACATCATTGGTCGTACTACAAAAACCCAAAGATTTTTTTTTTGTAGCATTATTCTTATGAAATTCGATTATAATCCTCTAAGCTGGGAGAATGATAGTCTGTCTGACCGTTTTTTAACACAAATGAGAGGAGACCACCTAAAAGAGTTTTTTTTTTTTTGAGATTTTAATCCTTTCAAGCTTTGTCCTATATTAGTTGTCCACTTTGAAAATTTTGACCTACTACCATCTTTTATCGTTGAGTTGTTTGAAGTTATTTTTACTCATATTCTTTTTATATATATTTATATACTATCCCAATTTTATATTAAATATTCACTTCAAGAATCTTAACTCAAAAAATATTATGAGTCAATATTTTCGAAATGTATAACTAATATGGGACGAAAATAATACTAAATTTTCGTCATTAAATTTAATATATTTTTTTCTATGTTGTGGGCTAGTGAATTAATGGGTGTAAACGGAATCCTGGGAAAACCATAATTCCATTCAGTCAAACAATTAAAAAGTCTACTAGCATGGCCCATGGCGTAGTGTGTAGAGGCCATAGACTAATGAACATATCACACACACACACACATATATATATATATATATATGATCCAAGAAGTGGGCGTTTAGACATTTATTTATTTATTTATTTTTATTTTTAAAACCAGCCAACAAACAAGTTTCCAAGAATTTGCAAGGTTACCAAAGCTTACAGTTCCCTCAAGTTTGATTTTCGTATTCACTCGATGCAAGAAAGATGTGACATTTCAAGACAAGCCTAGCCCGAGATCTAAGTCATAAGTCACATAACGTGGAAGTGAGAGCGAGAGCGAGAGCGAATTTAAGAACGAAAGCATGAGAATGGTAAAATTAAGTTATAAACAGTGAGAATTTGAGCGAAAACGCGCGAAGCGTAAGAGCGAAAACGTGTTCGGAGTGTGAGAGTAACACCTGTTAAAAAAGATTATTTGACTTAGGTTGAAACTTCAAAGACGTTTAATCAAGAAGAGAGAACTGAAATTATGAACTTACAATAGTGGACTGGGTTTTAGCCAGACAACTTTTCTTTAAAAATTGAAAATTATTCTAATAAAACTACATCAAACAAGTCTGGTATTAAAATTTTCCGCCAATTATAACAGGAGCAAATATGCTGCATGACACAATATATCTATATCTATATTTATAAATCTATTAAAAACACAGAGTTTCTATCATATTAATTTTAAGTTTCCATCGAATATGTATTGATTTTTTAAGGATTAATTACAACGACATTCCATGAGGTTTGTCATATTAACGGCCATATACAACTTCATCATTTTTTGAACAAAGACACCCTTGTGAAAATTTTGTTCCAAACAAGCCCTTAAAACATTATAAAAGACGAGATTGCCCTTTAATGTTTAATTCATTTTTATGATAAAATAGCAAAATTCATGAAAAGTCAACTTTGCCCTTATATATATACATTATTACATCTCGCCACCCACCATCCCTACACCACCGTAAGTTCCACCCTTCCACAATCTCACCGCCTCCTTCCTCCTCATTCTTTAATCACTATCACCTAATCCAAGACAACCTAAGAAAAACCCACCCATTTGATTTCACCCACACCATTCATCACTCACTACCTAGGGTTTCCAATAAAAACCCTCTCCTTATCTTTTAGAAACATAATCGGCGGTGAACTGGGGAAGTGAGCGACGACTGGTTGGAATCGACTATGGACAATTCGCGGCAGAGAGCATGGAACAGTTATGGACGAGCGGCGGGACAATGATGGGCTCAGTACGGCTGTAGGGAACTAAGTCGGCTGCTTTGGCCATGAATGACTTGCGGTTGTAACAACCCAAAAAGATACCAAAATAATAATAATAAAATATATAAAATTTCGGCATGACCTCCGCAAAAAAGTCCCTCTACAACCTGTTGAAATACATAAAAAAATGTAATGGCCTCACTGGCCTTAAAACTAACATATCCTGTCCCAATACACAATATAATTATTATATCACATTTCCAAAATGATTACATTCATATAAAAAGTCCCATTCCTCCATCTCATCCAAACAAGGAACATACCTTAGTTAAATTAAGTTACAGTCCATAAATGTAACTAAAATTTTAAAGTCCATAACTTACAACATTATACTAATTAAACTAAAGTTTCACAAAATAGTTAAGATTACATCTACAAAATATTAGAGTTCTAATACAAAAGATAGCAAAATAAAATAGATCTCCAAGCTCGTCTAAAATTATGGTGGATCGTCGTCTGTCACCTCTTTTCTGTGTCCTGAAAAATGTTTAAAATAATGGGGTGAGCATAAGCTCAGTAGGAAGTGTTTAAGACACACTTCTTATATCCCCGTGAATCCATATAATGAATAGATAAAAAGTGAACGGGATCATGCCATAGGGAAATGTACATTCTCAACCATAATAACAAGTATGTCGCAAATGTCAACCGATCATAGATTTACTACAATGCCATGAAGTGCAATCTTATGCAATTGCCACTCCCCATTTCCAAAACAATTCCGTTTCAACAACCAAACCGTTATTGTAATCCGACCCAAGGCACCTCCAAGGCGTTACGAAAGGGGGATTGACTAACTATCCACGACCACAAGGCACCTCCAAAGCGTCGCATCCGGCCTAGTTAACTCAACCACACTCCCTTCTAGATTACACTAACATCATGGACCACTAGGCGCCTCCTCGGCGGACGTTTTCGCAAACACTTTTATAAATACTTTCCCAAAAATTTATTTCCTTTGTTTTGAAAACATTTTTCCTTTTTTTTTCTTCCCGATGGATGCAAGAATGCTCCATGTTTCAAATCATCAACTCAACAATAATTTAATTTTTTTTTTTTACACATACTATCCCACATAAATTTCTAAAAACACATAACTAATGCTTTCAAGCAATCATCAATTTAACACGGTAAACATTTAAGACATGAATTTAACTTCATATAGGAATATATAATCACTACACAACAATTAACAAGTAGTCATGTATTCCATATCTAACTTCTAAACAATCTTTGCAAAGATTATACAAATTGAGCATGCTTGACATCAAATTAAGAAAGAAAACTCACAAAAGTACAAGAATTTATGCATCCGAACACCCCTACCTCACTTAGAAGAAAAAACCCCAATTTACACCCAAAAATTCGAAATCCCAAGTGTGGCCAAACGAAGATCGGCTCCGATCAAAACGTCGGCCTCGATGAGCTCTCCGACTTTGCCTTAAGCGCCAATATCAAATTCCTAAAGGTTAGAGAGATACCTTGGCTTGAATGAAAAGAAAAAAGAAAAGAAAAAGGAAAAAGTGAAGAGAGAGAGCATCTGGCCGTGAGAGAGAGAAATAATCTGAGTCTGGGAAATTGCCTTAAGGCCATTATAATAGATACATACTAATGGGCCCCACATATAAAAAAAACAAACAAATATCCTTTATTAACATTATATATATATACACACATATACACACACAAATCAGAATCATTATAGCGGCGGCAAGCTTGGGGCTTCGCTCGGAACGGTGAGGTTGGCTGAGATGGAGCGACGATAGTGGACTGTGTGTTTACGGCTGTGATGGACGGCCCGCGGCTCAACTGGTGGAGGGTTTGGCCGTGAGAGGAATTGCGGCGTGAAACAAGGGGGCAAGAATCGGCTGGCTGGCTTCACCGGTTTTAACCAAAGCGGTAAAAACCTCAGAACGGAGGACTCGATTGTGATGTGGCAGCTGATGGCGAGCTTGTGGCTTCGGATGATGGCAGTGGCGAGCTCGACAGTGGAGGGCTCGGCCGTGATGGGGAATGGCAAAGAGCTCGAATTCTAGCAAGCAAATTAAGACGGCCGAGAGGAAGATTTGGCAGCGGCGGAATGGCGGTGCAGAGAAAAGTCCGATGAGGAGGATGACGGGCTCGATTGAGGATGTTATGTCCGGTGAGCAAAGACGACAAGAATCCTTGAACATTGGCAGTAGGTTCTGTGCATTGTGGGTGTGATAGGGTGGTGGTGCATTCATTTAGGAATGGATGGTGGTGGCTATTGGTTTGGTTTATTAGTAGGATATTTTGGTCAACAAGAAAGAATTATATTAGATAAATTGGTAATTTAATGTATCAAGGGGTGTAATACCACAAGGGACAATAATGTCAATTTACCAGCATTGGGGTGTCTTTGTTAGCTTTATCAAACCTAAAGGGTTGTCTTTGTTCAAAAAACGGCTAAATTATATATGACTGTCAATATGACAAACCTCAGGGAGTGTCGTTATAATTAACTTTTTTTTAAAGAGTTAATTATCACATATTTATATATTTCCTTCCCAATTAAATTTCTTTTTCAATGTTCAAAGCTTTTAAGAAAGAGTTTCGTTTGAAAGTGTACCAACAAAAAAAAAAAAAAAAACAACCGAAAGTGTGTTTCAAGACTAATACAAAATCCAGTTTGCTTATTCTTGAAATGTTGACCATTGCTTGCAAACGGTCCTAATTAAAACGCGTTTCTTTTTTATCATTTTCTTGTGAAGTTTCCTTTTACTTTTATGTCACCCATTATCCAATTTTTCTCAGACGCAATTGACTCTTTCAGAGGGAAGGCAGCT